GTTTTTTTTTCTGGTATTTTTTGTGGTACAGTTTGTGGCGCACTAGAAATCACAATGAGCTAAGTTTTGTGACTCTGTTAGAATAGGGGGGGTAAATTTTTACGGCTGTTACTGTAAAAGAGAGCTGCTAGCTATAAAAATATTTAAAAAAGGTATGAAAGTAAAATCTAGCTACGAAAAATATATTTTTTTTTTATACTGAAACTGCCAATTTAGTTGAAATTGGAGACATTAAATATATTCTGGATTACTATTTTAATCCTGAAATCCCTAGTACATTTCATTGTACATATCGACATAATTGGTTTCCTAAACATCGTTGCATTTAAAATCGTAACGTTGAACGTATAGACATGTGTCAACAAATCGACTAACTGTGTACTTACATATATTTATATATGTATTAAACGAATATACTGCAGCTATATTTCACTACTCCTTATTGCTACACTCGCAAGCGTAACTATGAGCATTATGTACATCTATCAATAAACCAGCAACAAATATTTATTTCATACATCCCTGCATTCATACAATAAATTGCTGAGGATAATTGAATTAGTGCTCCTCATCTCCACACGGAAGTATATTTTATACCATTTTTATAGCATTTACACAGCATTTTCCATATTTCCGCTATTCCTGCTACCCACAGAGTTACGAGTATTGTTGTTATTGTTTTTTTTTGTTTTTTATTATTGAAAGTACAACCAATAAGCGCCACAATTAAATAATATAGCGCTGCTGTTCTGGCTGAGGAACGAGGCGCACAGACCGATGTACATACAACTGTAGTACTTTTATAGAACATTTATATTTACTTTTGTAATGGACTTTAGCAATTTACATACATACACACATATATATATGTGTATGTGGGTAGCCATGTGAGTGCTTATTTTCACTTTCTTCCTACACTTATGTTTTATTGTTTGTGCGACATACATACAGTATCGGTCATATCTATAGCACGCCAATTCAAAGTGATATTGTTTGCCACTTAGGTTTATTTATTTTTAAGTATTTTTAATTAAAATAAAGTTCATTCTCTAACAAAACCTATATAAAACCAAGTTTTTAAACTTTGTAGAAAACTACAAAAAAGTGCAACCAATTTTCACCCAAATTTAAAAGCTTTTTCTTAGAAGTGTTCGAATTTTGTGAGTATGTACACAGTTTTATATCCCAGGAAATTTCGAATTGATTGATTTTTTAAATTTTTTCACCGAAGGTTTGCGGTTTTCTTCCATATGCTTACATATATATAAATACAATGAGTTCGTTTGTTATACAGTCAGCATCAAAAATTTGATTACCCTGACGTTTTGTTGATTTTCTTATTTTATATTTTCCATACCAATTTTTTTTTTTATTTGTTATAAAAATATTATTCATTCTACAGCAAAAACCAGCAATTTCATATCAAAGTCGAAAAAATTCCAGAAATACCAACAAATTTCTATCAAAATTTTCAAAATTTAATATTAAAATTTAATGGGCTAAAAACTGCATACCCATAAGAAATGGAATTGAAAATTTGAAAATTTTTATGACAATTTTTTGGTAGTTCATGAATTTTCCCGAGTTATATATGGAATTGAGAAAATTGATTCTGCTGGTTTTTGGTGTTGAACTAACATTATTTTTATAAAAAATTTGGTATTGAAAATATAAATAAATAAACGTCTGGGTATGCATATTTTTGATGCTGCCTGTATGTATAGTTAAAAGTAAATGCGACATAAAAAATTCTAAAAAATTAAAACTAATTTAAACTGCTTGAAACTTGCACATTATCAGACTAAAATTGAATGGGATATGAAGCTGTGTACTCAAAAAAAAATTCTAACACTTTTGAGAAAAAAGTTTGAAATTTGGGCGAAAAATAAATAAATAAACAAAGTGGCAAACAATATCTCTTTGAAATGGCGTGCTATAGATATGAGCCATACCGTATGTATTTTTATGCCGCCATATGCTTTTATTTTATCAGCAATGTTTTATTATATTCTCTACAATTCAATTTGCCGCATATAGTAAATTGATAAAAAATTGTAAGTAAAAATATTTGTAAGTGGAACAAAAGCAAACAAAAAATCGAACCTAAGCGCAAACGATAGTGGACTTTATCAATACACACTAACATATTGGATGTTAAATGCTTCTAAAGTGTGGTGACAGCAACCACATTTGTTATGCCACATCATCACTGAAATGAGAGCCTGTAAGTGACAACGGAATGTATGAATGAAAATAAGAGAGGAGAGTGTGAGTTGGTGGCGGCGTACAATGTAAACGGTCGTGCATATGTATGTATGTATGTAGGTGGGGTGTAAGGCGCTAGAGTAGGGCAACAAGAAAAATGGGTCAACAATGTTGTTATTAATAATTTTTCAATATGTCGCTTGCAGTTCATTCAATTAACGTGGACACTAGCAAATTTTTTTTGCTGCCCCTTGTATTCCTCCGAACTCACTCTTAATCGAGACATATCCTTTGCTATTCTCTGTTATATCTATGTTTGTATTTTATTTATATGTAAATGTCTGCCTATGTGTGGGTGTGTATGTAGGTGTCAGCAACAGCGTCCGTTCGATGAACTGCCAATGGCAAGTTTTCCAACATAGAAAGCTGCATCATCACTTAAAAAAATAAACGTTGGTGGAAAATGCATACATACATACATACATACAAAGCAGGTGGCGTAAAAGCGCGGATCATGCTTTGGAGTATATAAACTTGTAAAATATTTTATTATTTATTATATTTCTCTTGTTGTTGTTCGCTTCTTTTGACCTCATTTTTCTGTCAACGCTAACAATGTCATGTTTTTCAAAAAATGTTATACATGTCCATCAAAATAAATACAAGTACGTTTACAGAAACGAGTATGACTTTATTCCAATTTTCATTTAGCTGCATCATTGTAGTCATATTTTTCGATCAAGTTTTTTTTTAGGTTGGTTTTTATTGAGTACAAAATTCTTTAAGGTTGACATACATACCAACATATGTACTTGCATAAAAAGTTTTAAATATCTATAAGGGATTTTTCGCACATATGTGTATGTATTAGCTTAGCTCATGATTCAATAAACTATATATTATTTTGCTCGAGGAGTCACCGGTGACCCGAGATTAGTTATCATTTATGTAGTACTTACTAAAGTTTCCGATTTTTTTAAGAATCTTTAAAGAAAATTATATGAAGTGGTTGACACGAACTCGTAAGGAATTTTCTGTACGAAAAATAAAGAAATTTGTTTTTTTTTTGCTTTTGGCCGTTAATTGAAGATTATATACATTTTTTGAGCTCAATCTTTATCTTTTATCTTCTCTCTACCAGAATGTCGAGGTATCGCCTTCCGACTCTCATTAAGTTAACTAAAATTTTTGTTAAATGCATCATATTTGAACAACAATTTGGATTTTTGTCAGAGTTTTTATTTTGTGTCTTTGCATTTTTCTAGTAGTAAGTTTTTTTCAGACAAGGCATAATGGACATAGATGATCCGAGAAAAAAGGTACTTCAACTCAAGATCGGAAGCATAAAGAAAAGAAGAAGTAAGTTCTGAAAAATCTGTATGCCTTCAGAACGAAGAGAAGCGACTACAAGTGTAAGTACTTTGTTCCTGACCTTTGACTTTAAAGACCACCTCCCAGATGTCCCACCCTCTGAAATAATTTTTTATATTTTTTTTACTTCATGGGTGCAAATTAACTCATAAATATATGTAATGAGGCATATTCTTGTTTTCGTACGAATCGAAAATTTGGAATTTTTGTATAGAAAATGATAGGAACATTTCATGACTTTCGATTCTAACGAAAACAAGAATACGTCCCAATGTTATTTTACACAATCATACAAATCATTTCATAAAGATCAAAAAACAGACCATCACCTTCTATAGACTGAAATCGCACCATTCGTAGGACTTTTTCAAATCACTTGACTCCATCAGATTTTGGAGCTCAAAACAAGACATGAGTGAATTACGATAAACCGAAAAAAATCAAAAAATTCGAAATTTTTGTAATTTAGTTAGTCGAAATTTTGGAGGTGTGCGAGACAAACGGACTTCAGATCCATCCAGGCTCAGCCAGGTCTGGTTAAATACACAGACCACTTCTTTATGCTTATATTTTTATCATTTTAATTATTTCTTATATGTATGTATGACAGTTTTTTGTTGTGATCACTTTTTTTAAAGCGTTCTGCAGCTATACTTTGGTCTAAATATTCCTAAATTTTAACAGCCACACAAATTCACTAGCTCGCTTGTACATACAACCACGCCTACATGCAGGCTACATATTTACCTACATACATATGTACATTCAATTCAATTCAGATTCAATTTAGAAATGGAACACAAATGGCCTGATCTAAAACTGAATGAATTTCCTAACTTTGCTTTGAACCTGTTTTTTTTTATTTTATTTTATTACTAAGGTAACATAAAATTCCAGTACTGTGCATTCATATGTATGTATGTAGTTAAATAAAGGGTTGAGTGACAGCGGTTATAGTAGCATTCCATCCTCTCAACGCTTTTCGAATGCCTTCACGTGAAAAAGGTTAAATCAAATTATTTCAGGCGATTTTGCTGAAATTAAATCTCAAGCAGATGTTGAAAATTTATTGCACCCCTTTTTATGTGGGCTTGACAGCCATTTGCCAAATCGTCGGTTGTAAAATGCAATTAATTTTGTGCAAACAAATTAAAATTTCAAACTCTTAATGAAGGAAGCTTGTGTGAGATAAAACAAGTTGGTAACAAGTTAAGTTAAATGAAATGAGTTTGAAAATGAAAGCGATATTAACCTACTATTTGGTGTACATACATATGTATGTACATACATGGCTATATAATCAAATGTTCACAACATACTTATGTATGTACGCATGCGGGTACAGTCAAGCGCCCTCAGTGAAGTTGCAATTTTAATTTCCGCCGTTATCAGCTAAAAAGAAAAAGCAATCAATATTGACTAACAATACCCAGCAGCGCGCTTCACTTTTCTTTCAACTACACAAATTTCTTCATCATTAGCGGGTGGGTACGCCTGCCACCTCCTATTTGCCACAGACATGCCATGCCCACACATTTTGCCTAACAAAGTGAAAGTGGAGCTGAGTAAAAAAGTTTGAGTGAGTGCATATGATGTGAATATGCATTTGTTTAAATTTCACCACCATGATTAAAATGAGTTTTTTTTTGATTGAAAGCTAACCGACTATTTCCGCTTCACCGCCCGCAAGTATAAACTGCGCATATATGTATGTACGTATGTATGTAAATATGTATATGAATGTGTTTGCTCATACGCAAATGAAGTAACATATTTCAAGGCACCTTAGCAAGGCAGTTGAGAACTAAATAAGAAAAAGAAGACTGTAGTTGAAAATCAGCACAATCAAGTGTATGCCAGATGCGTTCAGACAGTTTGAAAGATTTTGTTTATTCTGGCTCGAAAGTCTTACAAAAAGGCCTTGCCGCCCCGCCAACTCTTTTGACAGAAATCACTTGTATTCCATTTTGCTCGCCCTGCTCCAACAGACGAGAGAATTAAGCACTGGAATGCCATTCGAGAGATCTGAGGATCGAGGCCTCCGGCAGCGGCTTTTTAATTTATTTTTTATATTTAATTAGCTTTTCATTTTTAGATTTTATTATTTTAGAAAGAAAAATATTTAGTGTACATATCAATATTACTTTAAAGTTCATTTAATTTTCAAAAACTTAGTTAATATCATTTTTTTTCATTTTTAATTTAATTTTATTATTTTTAAGAAGAATAATATTTTTTAAATTTCATAAAATTTTTAGAAACTCTTTAATTAATTTTTTTACTTTTTAATTTTAGACTATTATTTTTGAAAGAAAACAAGAATTTAGGAACTTATTTTTTTGTCTTTAAATTTTTAGATAATATTATTAAAAAAAAAAACTTTTTTTATAATTTCATTTAAGTGCTAGGAACTTCTTTGGTTTTTTCTTTTTATAATATCACTTAACTATAAGAAACTTACTGCCAATTTCACGAAAGCAATTTATTTAAATGAAAAATCATTTTAACTTTTTGAATTTTATATGGAAATTAACAGCAAATAAAAAATTATTTTCCATTTAGAAATTTCGTTTTCAATTAAATTTTAAGATTTTATTATTTTTAAGAAGAATAATATTTCTCTTTCCTTTTTCTCCTATTTGAATTAATTAATTTTTTTACTTTATTAATTTTAGACTATTATTTTAAAAAGAAAAAATGTAGGAACTTTAATTTTGAGTGAAAAATGAAATAAATTTTTTGAATTCTATATGGAAATTGACAGAAAATAAAAAATCATTTTCCATTTAAATTGCTGGTGAAACCGGCTGTTATTAAATTAGTTTTTAGTAGCTTATTTAACCTTATTCTAAATTTTTAAAATTTAGTTTTCTATTAATTTTTAGTTTTTATAGCTTAAAAAAAATTTACGTATTCCTTTTTATTTTATTTAATTTTTAGGAAATTTATTCCTACAGGACAAACCGAATAACGCTAAGACCTCCTCGTTAGCAGATTTTTCAACTAGTCTTTCGAAAGATGAAAAAGGGTTTTCAATATAGTTGCTAGAATTGACAATTTTCTTATGAAGGCTTTTGCTGAAAGAATGTGGTTAAGTGGCACCTTGACATTCTTTCAATTAGTAGCTTTTTGTGTGTGAAATATTCATAGATATACATATATATACATCCCTCAAGGTGATAAAAAAAAGTAAAACAACGAGTTTAAAAGATTATAAAATAAAATGTTAAATTTACCAACGCGAACGTTTGTGCGCACAAACTTAAAATCCATCCAAATATTTTTTTTTGGCATCTTTGGTTTTTTTTTGTGTGAAATTTTTTATGTTTATATTTCTACGCGTATATAAAAGAAATGTAGGTTGGCGTTTTTGCTAATAAAAAAGCGTTTAATGGCGGCGTGAGTCATTTGCCACAATTTGTGCACATAATTTCTTTTAATTTCTCTGTGCATCTCTCCCTGTTTGTGCGATATGCTTCATTTAAGATTATTTATTTACAGCAGCTAATTGAGGCCACGCTTAGTCATTCGTATGGATATAAATGTGTGTAACACCTTAATATACATATTAATGCTATTCTTAAAAATACATACGTACATATATAAAATTATATGGCTGTGTGCTCATGCTTAATATTAATATTAAAGTTCAACGAACTGCTTTCATAATTAGGCCAATAAAGACGATACTTTACACCACCAAATATTTCACTGGTCAATGACGCTGTATTATCATAAACCTTCAATTCTCTCACTTTAGTTTTTCCACCACTCTCAAACAGTCACTTTATGCACCGGAAATGTGTTATACGAATTTTACCATTTATTTCTTTCGCTTAGTTTCATTTCCTTTTTATTGAGCAATTTTTACCATTATGGCGTAATAGAGCATTCTACGCTCGATATATTTGTATGAAACTTTAGTGCCGTATTGCCGCGGAAAGCAGCTGACATATTTTAATTCGCGTATCATGAAATTTTGTATAAAAATTAAAAAAGTCTAAACTCTTTAAAGAGTTCTTATTTAGGAGACAGAATGTTGTAAAATGAAAATCTAACAACCAGTTTACATAAGTGACTTCCTGCCGTTTCTAAACATGTATAATACTTTACTTAGTTAACAACAGCAAGCAAACTGGTATTGTATGTCTGAACAGTGGGTCATTGTTTGGTGGCCTGCGACAACCAAGACTCCATCCAGAGTCCAAGCTGGTCACGTGAGCCCTTCCTTTGACCCTAATTTGAACTTTCCATCGGTAGATTGATGCAATGCCGCTAGATTAGAAGCAATCGTGCTAGGGAGAGGCCTCAGGTACGGACACGTGAGGGTCACAGAAACTCTTTCGATTAATATAAGGATGTTAAGTCAGAGGGCAGCTAGTCGGTCTAGAAAGCAAATTCTCTATAATAATCACAGAGACAATGGAACGGGAATGTGCCAGAGATCTAAACTCAGAGTCAACGTTTATCTGCGCAGATGGTTCTAAGATGGGTAGTGGGATTCACCTCAGTAAAGTCTCTTTAAACCTCAATTTTCGTTTACTTGACCACTGTAGTGTTTTCAAGATAAAGCCAACCGCACTAAAAGGGGCCACCATATAACTAATTGACTCTGCTCTCTCAGAGCCGTTGAGGGGATATGGGGGTTCATCTGTAGATGAGCTGATGGGAATGGTGTGTTTACAAGTTTTCGAAATTTTTTATGTATATACACACATACATATATCTAAAGGAAGAAAAAAGCACATACCTATACCTTAAAAATTAAAATACAGCAATTTTAGATGAACAAATATTTCCATAAGCCTTCTCGCTCCACTGTGCCTCCTTACTACCGCAAAAAAAAAAATAGCTTCAGTAGTATCAGACACATGCTGCGTTCAGCATAAATTAGCATTTTGGCGTCAGTATTTCCTGCTCATTTTTCCTGTTTATGTGAAATGGTTAAGTTGTTTTGGCGTATCGACAGCGGATGTCATAATCTCAAGTGACTTGTTGAGATAACAGCGTATTTAAACACATAATTTAACAACAACTTTTGAATGTAAATATGTATGTATATTTAAACGCAAATGCGTAGGTGTACCAAAAGTTAGTATTTGGGTAAAACAGATGCTGTTGTATTTTCCGCTGGTTAAGCAAACAACAGAGGGTTGCAAAGTAAATGAAGCGGTTGGTGAACTAACCGAAAACATGTCGAGTTTTTTTAAAATTAAATATTTAAATGCGATTACATAAATAGGTACGCTTGTGCATGCTTTTGACAACGCGAAGAAGGGTTGTAGTGAAAGTAAATAGTATACTTAATAAAATTTTGGCTTGTTTGTTGTTCATGGACTGTGGTGCTCCGCTGCGTATACGCAACATGAATTTCTAAGTGCGAAATTCAGTGATTAATTAATTTGGAGAAAATTGCTAAAGTTTAAGTAGATAAAAGCAGTAGGCTGCCTACGCACGAATGATCAATAAATTAGCACAGCAGTTCGTAGTTAATTGGATTTTAAAAATACATTTTTGAAACTTAGTTCTACTTCGCGCCCTAATGGCATTTAGCAAGTTGCTTTGCATATTTAAGCAAGTTTTTTATTAATCAATGCGACTTTATTGAAAGAGCCACAACTGTTTTGTACTTCCGCAGAGCTTGTTTGCTTTTGTTTGTGTGTATATGTACATATACAAACTTCACTGAAATATGCCATCTTAGAAGCTCAACTTTCTCATTCTGCTGGCTTACGCTCCCATTTACATATATTTAATCGCCAGTGAATTAGTAGAATTTTTGTTGCTTCGGTTGTCGCGTTTATGTGTGTGTAAGTAAATTGCCGTAACTAATTAACGACAGCAAGTTTTCAAATTAGCTTTTAAAGAAAGTTTGAAGAAATTAAAATTAAGATAGCAGCTGAAAAGCGAGAAGCAGCATTAGTGTTGAGTGAATTTAAATAGCAGTTTAATGGCTGCGTTTTATTTAAATAGCAGCTAAAAATAGAGAAATCGGTTGGAAAATATTTAAAATAAAGTTTACTATTGAATGCTGCCGTTATTGCGAGCTTTAGAAGTTAACTGCGAGCCTTAAATGTCGGGTGAGAAATTCCTTTTGCGCTATAAAGTAAAATCTGTAAAAGGTTTGTATAAGCAATGATTTTGCTTCTGATAAGAAAAAATGATTTTGAAACATATCGAGTACCCACTGCTGTTTAAAAATATTACACGTATTCATATACATATATTGTAGGTGATATTCTTAGCTAAGTTGAGGGCGTGGTTGTCATAACTGGCTTATTTTTTGCGCATAGAAAAGCTGTAAATATCAGTAGTAGTAGGTAGGAATCGAGTTCAGTTGTGCCCAAGAATATAACTTCTATATTTTTTTCAACTTCACAAATGGCTCCAGAATACCAACTGAATCCAAACTGAATTTTAAATTTTTTTTAAATATTTTTATTGAACTTTCTACCACGATTGTTTATTTGAAAACATTGAAAAAGCAACAAAGTCTAAGCGGTAGAAGTTATAGCAGTTATTTCGGAGATCACCACATCTCCTCATCAGACTTCTTTTTTCTAGACTTTTTACTAAAATCTTTCTTCGTAAGTAATCAAATTACTGAAGTGTTTTTCATTCTAAAATCGGTGCAATTTATTTAGCGGAAAGGCTGCACCTCGCCCCTAACAAGCGCACCTTCGCTGTAGACAGTCAGGCCGTTATCAAGGCCCTTAGGTCTGCTATTACAACTCCGGAAGGAATGTCAAAGAAACTTTAAGTCTCTTCGACTGCCCATGACCCATTTTTACTGGACATCGTGTCATAGTTATGTTTCCTGCAGATAAGAAATCAAATGAGTGCTCAGAAAAAGAGTCTAAGGCAGAACTCAAGTCCAATTACTGCTTTCACAAGTTCAAGATAAGGCTAGAGTTGCAAGAAATAGCAGGTGTACTCAAACTAATTGGAGCATATTCAGGTTGTCAAAATTAAGACGAAGATCACGCGAAACTACTCACCTCAAAGTACCAGGAAAGGGTTTGTTTGGTAGAGTCTATTCAAATCAAATCTCTCGCACTGCACATAATTCGCTTTACTTTTTTTAGAAGACCATTTTTTTGAACACCTGGACAGTTAAAGATTGATTATAGCAGATAGCTGGATTCGACACAGAATTAGGTTAGAGTAGGTAGCCCAGTTGTGTACATCAATCTTAGACCTACCTCACCTGGTGGACCATCCCACCAACTATTCCAGCAAGAATTGACCTATGCCCGAAAAAGTTCACTTCTCCGTCTCTCCCGCCACTTCGCCACGCCTAATCATCCCTTAAGGGGATTGTGTATAGAGATAAAGCTGTATGGAGTCATTTCAGAAACGTCGTGATCCCTGTAACCAGCGAAGAAATCAGAATTTACAAGAACTTTAGATTGCCTAGATGCTGAATTTTTGCAGCAGTTTAGCCAGGCACGTTTACAGATGAGCCTTTAGCTTCAGAGTGGGAGTGATTTGAGGAATCAATGAAACATAATATTTAGTCAGATCATAAATCCAAAAAAATAACTTTATGCGGGTGACAAAAGATACGTTCAGTTGAAGCAAATTCTAAAGCGAATTTCAAATCGATTGGGCACGGCCCTTAGAATTTGTGTTAAATGTAAACTATGTACCACTAAGCGTCGGTTTCATATGCTCAGTTTTTAAATTATCGACAAACGATATCCATTTTTTGAATAAGCGAAAATGTATGTCTAGTTTTAAAATAACCAAAATGCAAGCTCAATTTTCAGATAACAAGAAATTTCTATACAATTTTTAACAGCCAACAAATTATGTCCAAAAAATTGTTTAAGATTTTGGTAACTAAAAATCAATGTCCAATTTTAAATTACAAAAAAAAAAAATTTATGTATTCCTGGTTTTTACTTTCATATCATATCGTACATACATATCTGTGTCTAAATAGCGAAAATAGATCATAATCGGAGACGTAAAATAATTATTGTTATTTTTTTACTTTTTTTAATTCTAACCAAAAAAATCAACATGTAAACAAGATTTTAACTATACTCGCCTACTTGTATTCGTACCTCCCACAGTAAATTTGTCCGAAGCATGATGCACTAGAGTCGGTGAGACATGGAAGCACATTAAGGCTGTTGACTACTTTATAATCAAATAGCAAACACGAATTATTAAGTAGGAAGGTAGCTTTTCCTTATATACACTTAAAGTAGACACGACTGAAGCTTAGTTAAATAAGTTAACCATATGCTTTTACAACCAACGAACTTTCAGCAAAGCCGTACATATATTTTTTGCATTAAGAACGCTTTTTAGTATTTTCACAGTACTAAAACACTTCCAATCAGTGCAAAATAGAATCTGTTGCCGGCATGCAGCCAATCAAAACCTCTCGAACGCACAAGCGCACAATCAAAAATGCCAAGAAAACTTGTTTGCCAACTTACCATGCTGTTGCGGTCTTCGCTGTGATAATTTGCGTCTTTGCGGCGGCGTTTCCGTTTCGCTAAGACGCGGCTCACTCGTACAGTAGGAGCGCGCATTTTCCAAGTTGTATTGTTGCTGTTGTTGTTGTTGTTGCGCTTGTGCTTGAGCTCGCCGGCGTACCTGTGGATAAGAGAAAATTGCAATGATATTACAAGGTTGGTTGTAGAAAATTGCAAGGAAAGACAGACTAGAAAATTATTAAAAAAAGTCTAACTAAATAAATTTCAAGTTAAAAAAAAAGATTTTGTAAAGTTGATTTCCTTAGACATTTAAATGGCTAGCAGTAGTAGCACTAAAGCGCTGCGTCTACTTCCCTATCAGCTATGGTGAGCTATTTGCAAAATATTCATATACATAGTTAGTGATAAGTACACACACACACACCCTCATACACACAAACCTATGTAAACCGATAAGCGCCGTCTCGCAGCAGTGTAATCTTGTAAAAACTTGTAACCTGCGTGTAAAGCTTGCTTGCTGCTGCGAGTGCATTTGTCTGCTCTTTATATTTGCTGTTGTTTTTTTCTGCTTTCCGCAATTTCCCTAAGTGTAAAGTTTGCAAGTGCGTACATATGTATGAACTTGTGCAACACTTGTTGCTTGAGCCGCTGTGCGCACGACAATGTTTTCAAGTGTTTGCATTCGTTGTTTCGTATCTGTTTTGCTTTTACTTCTCTGGCGCGCTTCTCTATACACCACCCAATCGTACTACGTGTCGTATACGCAACATGGCAGCATATAAAATTAAATTAAAATAGTTTTGTGACATGAAGCTATTTTGCGGTTTCGTGGCAAACTATTGAAGGGTGAAAAATGGCAAACATTTTTTATGTATTTTTATTTCAAGAGAGAATTGGCCAATAATTGAATTGAAGTTTCTGGCTATACTTTAGCTATGTTTGTGGCATCAATAGATTATTGTTTTAAGCTCATTGATAGAGCAAAAAAAGAAAACGTAAACGACAATTTTTTCAATATTTTTTTTTATGTACATAGAAATACTCCTAGAGCATGTAGATGTATTTCTGCATCAAATAAAAAATTTCGAGAAAAACTGTCGCTTATTTTTTTTTGGCGGCTAAGGCTCAATGTATACACTGCTAAAGCCTTATGACCCCAAAACGAGATTATATTTCATACATATGTGCCATATGTATAATTCAAATAAATCTGACCTTTATAATGGGTGGCAACCACAATGAAATTGACTTTTAAACTAAAGCTTTTCTAAAACTCTTTCTATTGACGCCACTTATAAAACAACTTTTGTATAATTTATTTAAATTCGATTTATGCAAACAGGTGGCAACACTCTTCAAAATTATTTTCAAACGAAACCTTCATAAGGCTATTTTTTTGACACTCATATTGTGATAAATATTTCAATGAACTGTCGAAGTTCAATTTGATTTTGTAAACAGGTGGCAACTCTTCTACATATACAGTTTAGAACTAGATCTTTTTGAAACTCGGTTCGACAACTTGTTCATATTTTAATTAAATTTAACTTTTCACACAAGTGGCAACCCTCCCACAGGAAGGTTTGAAATTAATTAATTTGAAACCATTTCGACTGATTGATGTTGTAAAAATGGGTTTAGCTTATTAAATACTTAGAATTTTATTTTTTAAAATGTGACAAATTTTACACAAAAAAATGCAGATACAAATGACTCTAATTTCAAGACCTAGGAGTACAACACTCATGTTTGGGTTCTCTCTCCTCTATCACGGAGTCTCTCGATAAACGAATTTATGCTACGCATCACATCAAAAGTCATTAAGATTGTTGCGAACGCCGATGACTTAATAATTCTTGCCGTAGGGAAGCTCATTTCGACGGTCAGTCGTTTACTACAATCTGCACTTGAGGCCCAAGAAAAGTGTCCAGAGAGGCGAAGTCTGTGGCCTCATTACTACAGAACTAAAATAAGTACTCGTAGTAAACGAGCACGTAACTCTTTATTTTCTCGAAGAAAAAAATGGATAAACTGTCGTTTATGATAGCCGTTTACGATTCGTTTTCGAGTACATTTTCGCTTGAAATTAAGGAGCGCATTCAAACAGTCGTAAACGGATAGCAAAAAGCATTCGTATGCGAATATTATTTATTATCAAATGTTTTGGTCCAAGAAAAATTTCCAACAAAATGAAAACTTTTGCTTATGCCTTTCTCTAACTTTTTGCCAATCGAGAATCCCACGTAAAATATAAATACGTCTTCTTGCTGGCTGGGTATAAACCAACATACATACATACAAGAAATATCTATATATACTGTGTTCCCAAACAAAAACAACAGAAACCACGCAAGTTCACAAAATACGCGTAATTCCCAAGCATAGTCACGTTGTGCTTGAGTAAACATTTCACGCTTTCATCTCGATTGGCCTTTGTCGTTCACACCGCAGGTAAATTAATTTGTATGCAACTCACAAATCCAGACATTCGATTTGTTTTCGTAGCGTGTACGCGCTATGCGGGTTTACCGCTTCATTTACTGCTGACAAAATGTCAAACACACGGAAACACGCCCCCCCAATCACATTACTTTTGTTTCTATTTAATCGATTGGGGCGGATGTGCTGGAGGGTTCATAGTGGTGCAAAATAAACTTAAGACACCTCGTTTCTGGGCAGCGACCGTGAAGCGTGGCGGTTCAGTGTTTGGTTGGTGAATACTTGCGAAGGAAGTGCGCTGAGGCAAAGCGAGGCAGTTAGAACGGAAAGGCAAACGCTTGCGAGTATGTTGCGTAATCAATCGACTTTTTACGCAATCCTCTCTCGGTGTTTAATGACAATCACTCAAATCTTGTTTTGCGTCATATATTTTTAGTGAAATTTCCAATTTGATTTTCTAAGTTCACCTTCATTTGTTCTAGTTAAAGGTGGGTACAGTTTACACTGAAGTAAATTCCTTTGCAATTATTTTTATTGCAGTAACTTCAAGTTGCCAGAATAAAATGATAAATAGCGTCCATGTAAATAGATATCCAACTATCGCTATGATTTTTAGTGGCAATGCCATCTGCAAGTACAATAGTTAATGGATGAGTAAAATATTGTCATATGGCTACACTTGAGGTTAAAAGTGTGCTTAGTGTCAAGGTTATATATGTTAGCCGCTCCCCCATACAATTGTCTCTCGCTCTCATTTCTTGTCTTAACCACTGGCGCCAAACTAATCGTTTGCCAAAAGGAAAGTATGTACGTATGTAAATTTGTTAGGGCGAACAGAATTTATAATGTTTCTTCAATTAATTTTTTAAATTTCCTTACTTCAGAAGAATTTTTTATAGCCCATTTTTATATTGAAGTATTTAACTGAATACCATTCAAGGATACCTTAAAAAAATGAGGTTAAAATGTGACGAAAAGTTAAAATTTTTATGAAAAAGTTCATAAAGTAGGGTTTACAATGCCAACTCTGATTTTACAAGTTGTTTTGCAATATTCATGTAGATTTGTGGCTTCGAAATGATTAAGTAGTGCTACAAACCACTCTAACCAGCTGGTAACTTTATCTATTTGTTTCCAGAACAAAACACGAAACTTCAAGAAAAAACCACTGAAGGACCTGAAAAAGTTAAAAGCATAGCGAAGAAATTCTGAAGCATCTCATAAAGCTCCAATTTCCGAAAAAATATGAAATGCTGACTTTCGATATTTTGATGTCAGTCAGCAAATATGTATAAAAAAATAATATTTTTCCTTTGACAAGCATTACCTTTTTTTGGTGGGGCACCTTAATATATGTATGTCAAATGTATGTTTGTACATCCGAGTATCAAAACTGTTGTTCAATTGCATTCATTTGTGCCAACAAATGCTTAGATGCGCAGGGCATCGATTATTGCAAGTATTGTCGAATTGAACAAAAAGATAACAAAGCCGCAATCGAAGCTGCAATAAAACTTAGAATTGGTACAAAATAGATTTATTTATACAGCAGTGGCAAGCGCCAAGTGCCAGTAGCTCTTCTACATACTAGTTGGCCCACAGACTCTGAGTTCGTTGTTTGGTCGCTTGGAAAAGTCGCGAATGACATTGCAACAAAAAATAATTTATTGCGAATGAATTTAGTGTGCGCGCATTCTTGGCAGAAAAAAAATTAAGTCAAATATAAATAATTGCAGAAAAGAAACAACAACTATTGAAATAACATTCAGCGGAGCATTGAAAATAAGCGAGCGCGACTGGTACATAAATTTGGTTGCAGCTGATTTATGAATCTTAAAAATGCATTTGCTAAATTGTTTAACTGCAACAATCTTGTCAGCATGAGACAAATGCTAAATTTATGATCATGCGACATACAAACACATTCAGCAGTTGACAACTATATTTTGACCATTTCTATTTCGTAGATGGGCATCGCATTGGTAATTTGTCTATTTAGTGTGCATTGTGTCTTTTTATTTTTAATAGAAATTTTGCCTTTGTTGAATGCGGCGGTCTGCTTTGCTCTTTCAATGCTCGCTCAATAAAATATTTTCTATTCTTTTGTTTGTTTTGAAATTTCTTTGAATTTATGTACTGACCTTGACCATGCGATTTGACTAAAATTGGCATAGGCGCTAGCCCTTCAATTCATAAAACAAAACTTATCCGGTGCTTTTGTACTGACATTACACTTAGAAAAATTTTACAATCCATTAAATCATTCTTCTTCTTGCTTAGCGCTGCAACCGCCTTAGTGTTTTTGCAGAGTTTCTCTTCTGTGCCAACTGATGCCAATTGGAAATGCCAAGTGGAGCCAAGTCCTTCCTCAACTTCCTCGCGTAGGCTACAACTGGTCCCTAGAGCTGCCAAGAATTAGAGTTTGGGGTTGCCCAGAGTTAGAGTATTCGTGATGCATTTTTTTTTTTTAGTAATTTGTTCGATTTTCCAAAATGAGGCGTCAAACTAAAAGCCTTGGACTGTAGATGTGCTATAGGTTTTACTTTTTTGAAAAGAGTTGCCAACTTTTTTTTAATTATATTCAAATTATTTAAAAAAAAATAAATCAATTTTTACAAAATGGGTATCAATCGAAGTGGTTTCGAAAAGCTTTGTTACTTAGCTCAAATATAGGAGGGTTGCCACCTGTTTAAAAAATCATATTAATTAAGAGAAATATGT